TTTTTTTTTTTTTTTTTTTTTTTTTGTTTCGCCACTGTTACTGTTCTTCTTGTTCTTTAAGTTGATTTATGGATCTCAATCTTGTAAACAGTGCGGTTTTCTTCCACTAGCTACATTTTAATGAAAGCAACAAAGGGGTACAGAACATCACGGCAACATTTTGGTTTAAATAGTTCCTATTAAATTCCTTTGTCAATCCTAACAAATTGCCTTTGGCTTGATAATTCTTTTAAGATTTTGTCTGTATACTTTTAAACTAGGTTGTTATTGTAAGTGGTAATATTTGATATCTCACAAATAAACTTCAGAAAGAGAACAAATACTAAATAACTTTAATATATTACTAGGACGCCTCAGCCTAAGAAACACCTTCCATGATGTGTTTTTGAAAATTCCTGAAATTGCCCAGGAAATTAAGTCATATCCAATTAGCAAATGGCTTGAGCCAGATCTTTTGAGCCCTGTCAAGACTTGTTTCTATCTTACTCTGCTGTCTCCTGATAAAAAGCCCTCAAAACTACAAAATACAAAAAAAGACACAGCAAAAGAAGCAGTTGCTTAATGCACTCAGCTTTGAAAATATTTCCCAGCTTCCAGATTCACTCTTCTGTATGTTATCAACCCTTTCAAATATCTTAGCTCTGCATTCACAATGTATGTAGGGAGAAGTTATGAATTTTCTTCCTCTGAGAAATTAACGATAATGGTTGCACGTATATATACACGTGATGAGGGCTAGGGCTATAGCTCACAGGCCACATACTTACTTAGGCTATACAAAGCATTGGGTTGGATCGCCAGCACCACAAAATGAATGATAAAAGATAACAGGGAATTTCAAACCTCCAATTTGTATTACAAGAATTATAAGTTCTTTTACAAATTTCTTTAATGTTGTTTCAACATTATTTTCACTTGTTTTTAACATATTATGGTCTCCAAAGCCATGATTTTCTGGTCCACATTTTCTAAGTTCAGAGTTACTCTTCTTATTTAAAAAGTTACAAGACAAGCTGAAGGAAGATTTAATCTTATTTTTGGAAAGCTCATCATTAGTTTAAATTTTCTATTTAAAATGAAAAAAATGTACAGTCATATATTGTATTCAGACACTAATGCAACAAAACAGAATTATTTGTCCATTTGAAGCAAAGAATACAGATGAACTAAATGTAAGGAAATAATTGCCCAATACAAAATTTGAATTAGTTCATTGAGTCTTCCAGGTTTTATGGAAAATACCAACTAAAGGTAAAGAAAACTAAGGTAGGACTATTCACTGTACTGTTAGTTTAAAAATTTTATTTCATAAGTGATTATTATATACCATTTCTACTCCATCAAACCATGGTATTAAGCATATTTAGCTTGGTGTATATATATATGGTCTTGCATGAATTGGGGGCAACTACCATTGCAAGAAGTTTTTTTCCTCATATTGCCTACTCTAACTCACGATTCAAGTCAAGCTTTCTGACTCTGCTGCTACTGATAGAAAAATTGAGCTAAAACATTTAGTCTCAAGCCTCGAGTACCATTACATTAATACACTTTTTGTGTGTTTCCATTTTAGAATACTGAATTCACTTAAAATTATCTATTGCTTTAAAAAGCAAGAAATGTAGAAAATAATGAGTAAAATAAAAAAGGAAATCATACTTTCAATTATGATTCATAATGAGGTTATTGTCATAATAGTGCATAGGGAGGGAAGTTTTGTTTTCAGGATAGATGACTGGGATTAAGCCTCAGCTTCTTCACGACCTTGGACAAATTAATATTACTACTCTTTAACTTCGTCATTTATAACAAGGATTAAGACACTTTAATTATAGGGATGTTTTTAGGACCAAATGAGAAAGGGATAGCATAGTGCTTTGTATGTATTAAATATATAAAATTCACGGCAACTTGTTAATATTGATGTAATTATGTTTATTCCTACTCCCTACTGCTCAACTCCAAGTTTGTCATGTTTTTATCACCTTTTGAATGATTGATGGCCTTAATACTCTCTGTTGAAACCATTCTTCCTTCCATTTAAATATACCTGACTTCTAGATTTAATTGTATTAATTCTATTTAAAGTTTTTAATCTTTAGTTTTATATTTTCTATTTTTATGTCATCTTATTTGTTATGATCTATTTTGGAACTTCTTTTGAAAACAATTTAATTATTATTATTTATGTATGATTCAACTATGGGGATTTGCTTTATTCCTCACCGTTGTACCTTTTAAAACTCTACTTTACTCCTCTCTTCCATTCAATGTTTTCCTTCCAATTTATTTTGCAAAAGTATAGGTATCTGACTGTCGTGCCATTATTACTATACTTCTTGAATATGATGTAAGCTGTTTTTTCCAAACCTTCTGTTTATTCTGATAGTTGGGCATGAATTTCTCTTTTTAGCTTTTCACAAGATTTTTAACTTCATTGATGTTGTTAGCTAGCTTTATCTCTGAGTACAGTAGTTTAAGGCTGAATATTGTTGCCCACTTGTCCATAGTTTAAGGATGAAAGGATTATAAAATCTAGAGTCAGTGTATTAGCTTTCTAGTTGCTAGACACAATACCCATAAAACATTCATCTTAAAGGAGGAGAGGATTAATTTGGCTCATGTTTTAAATGGATTCAGTTCATGTTTAGCAAGGTCCAAGACAGGTATATTATGGGAGAAGGAGTTGGCAGACCAAAGTTGTTTAGTTCATGGCAGCTGAGAAGCACAACAAAGGAAAAGTGCCAGATAAGAAGGGCAGAAAGACCAGATAGATATATACCCAAGACCACACTTTCACCCAGACTAACCTACAAATCTCTTGGCCAAATTCCAAATCTAATCGAGTTAACACTCTGTCACATTCCATTTCTTCTCCACTTTTTTCATCCAAAAATATCTCTTTAAATTGTCTAATCTCCAAATAAGATAATATCAAGTGCATCATTTCTTCCTAACGTAACTATCTTGTCTACAACTGGAGACCCATCAATCCCTCAAAATCTCAAAAATCCCAACCTTTTTCAGAAGTCCAATTCCAAGTCTCTCCTGACATACAGGGCAAATTCTTAGCTATAAACCTCTATAAATTTTTGAAATATATAATTCCAACGTATCACGGCAGGGAGTAAATATTTCCATTCCAAAAAGTAGAAACCATGGGATAGAAAAGAATAGGACAGAAGTCTGAATTCAATTCAAGAGGGCGAATTTTCAGTCCTGTGTCTCCATATCTGGAGCTCAGTGGTGGTGAAACATGAGTTCTAGAGGGCTTGAGTGGCTCAGCCCCTATGCCTTTCTCGTTGCAGCAGCTGCATATCCTGTCTCTTGAGCTGGCCCCACCCACAGCTGTAGACTTCCTGGAGTCTCCACTGACCGTTGGCGTCATTCCACCACACAGTCCCCTCCCAGGGGCCGCTCGCCTGTCTTCCAGGGCTTCCCTTTCAAATTTGGGTAGAAGCCTCTATACTTCCACCACACTTGCATTCTGCACACATGACTAATCAGCATCACATGGGCAATGTCAAGGTCTGCTGCGAGCAGGAGTCATACCTGGTCCTCCTTGGACCATGTTTGCAGCAGTCTGAGTGCCTGTGTGGATGAGTTCAATGCAATAATTCCTGGGGAACCAATTTTCTAGGAGGCCATTCTTTTTTTTTTAATTCACCAAGTTTATTGGTACATTTCAGACACACAATGTGATGACATTCATCATTGGAGTCTTGTAACTTTGCATGCTATATCTGGGTTCTTATTTTTCCCCCATTCCCCTGCCCTCCCTTCAACCTCTCCACCCCTCCCTATTTACAAAGACTTTGTTTCTGTTTTTTCCTTTTCTCATATTTATTTATTTCCCCTCTTTCTTTCCTCTCCCCTTCCCACTTCCTCTCCCCTTTGGACTTTTTATTCCTATTTCACATTATCTATTATGCCTTTTGATCCATATTTGCACTTTTAGTTTTTCACACCAGGGAAACTATATGGTATTTACATGTGCGTGCTATTTATTTCACTTAAGAGCATGTCCTCAATGTGCATCCATTTAGCTATAAATGTCTCTAGTTTCTCATTCTTTATGGCTGAGTAGTACTCCACTGTATTAAAAAAAAAAAATCTTTATCCAGTCTCCAGTTGATGGG